TTTCAAAACTTCAATTTCAAATAAAAAATTTTTTTTTTTTTTTTTTTTATTTTTATTCCAATTTTTAAAAGCATAAAAATTTACTCCGAAATTGACTTTGCCCCCCCCCCCCTGCCTCCGAGGTATCGGGGCGCCCCTGAGTAAATGTCATTTGTATCTAGAGGGAGTAATAATTCTTTTCTTATTTATTGTTATTATAGTATATTCAGTGCATTTGCAATCATTAGCAATAGACACACAGCAACCTGGATTGCTTATGTCAAAATGGCGATTGTCATATTAGGTAAGCACAGCACTGGGCAAGTCAAGTCATTTTTGACCTGACTTGACCTCGGAAGTTTTTGATGAGTCATGACTTGACTTGACAACTTTTTAAAAGACTTGACTTGACTTGTGACTTGGCATGAAAAATCAACTCAAGTCATGCATATTTTTAAACCGCTTATGCAATCTAATTTTAAATAATAAATCATAATGATTTGGGAATGTTGATCTTATAATGTGTATTTTTTATGATTACCTTTTGAAATACGAAAAACCAACATCGTATCCAAACAAAAAGCCGAAGCTCGTAGAAAACTTGTAACCTGCCCAGCTCCGCTGTGGGCATTTTTCTACGGAAAAATAAAATTCCAGGTCATGACTTGTGACTTCACTTGACTTGACTTGAAAAACCCCGAGACTTGACTTTACTTGAGAAAATTTTTGATGACTCGACTTGACTTTTGACTTCGAAAACCCGTGACTTGCCCAGCTCTGGGTAAGCATTATTTTTAATGAGCTTACATTCTGTAGTTACGTATTTGATTGATAGAACTTTTCATTAGCGCTGCTCTCTTAATCCATCGGTTACTAAAGGACCCCGCCGGATAAGACCACAAATCTGCCCATGAGAACTTTTATGTTTTAACGAGCAGGTTTTGTAGAGCGTGAGACGGCGAACATTTTCTATTCCTTTGTTTTGATTTTGGTTAATCAATGATCTTTGAATTTATTTTTATTATTTTTTATTTAGAATTTATTGAAGGAACTGTTCATGCATTTTTTATTCTTATTGCTTTACGCAAACGTTTAAATCGAATGAATAAGCAAAAATATCCTGCGCGTGAAATAATTACATTATTAATAATGATTGATTTAAGCTTATGGTTTGAAGCAACAACAACAACGACAAAACATGAGGCAAATCCATTTCAACTGGATTTTTATCACATCATACCGTGGTCAATTATTGCTGCGATTGCCACGCCATTGCAAATATTTTTTCGTTTTCATTCATCTGTATGTTTATCTCACGTATGGGAAAATATGTACAAGACAAGCGATGAATCCATCGATCATCATTGAATACGAAAATAAAACTTTTTTATCTGACGAAGTTGCCCGTGATTGCTTTAGCTTCCTGCAAAAAAAGAATTTTTTTTGTATTTTTGATAATATATTCAATTTTATATAAAAGTACATCTGATTTTCACTCTCTAACTTTCTTTCTTTATCTCGCTCTGTTCAATAACGATGTTGAAATACAATAAGTCAACTACATTCAACCTTTATATTCTATTTGTTATATATAGTTGTTATCCGAGTAAGATATTTTATATTCACTTCTATTTCTTTTTTTGAATTTTTTTCGCTAATTTGTTTTTTACATATTGTTGTAGGTGGACTTATTAAAACCTCATTCAGTTGTTTACGTAGCGAGTTTAGAGGTGGTGACGTTGTTATCGAATAATCATAACACTTTGATATATTTGTGTGGTAGAATTGAAGGAAATTTCTGTAAAAAAGGTTTATTGAAATTTTAAGATTTGAATAAACGAGCAAAAAATAATGCCCTTATGATGTAGCACGCACCGGAATATAAGATGTATTAGAGCAACATTTTTCCTATTCTTTGCACTCTTTATTAGTATCGCAATCATAAATATCATAAACATGTTACTACGTACCAGTGCTCGAACTAGGCCAGGCAGCATGCCTGTTACAGACAGGCCAGGCCACAAACTGCCGACCTGCACAGGCTAAGGCAGACCAGACCTAGATGAAATACGTTCAGGCAGACCTTTGAAAAAGCAAGGCGGCCTGGTCTATGAGATTTGCGTATTTTTCTTCAAAACTTAGCGTTTTCGCTGCACAAGAACTACATGTTTTTTCCTGACGAACTCCATGTTCCCCACAAGAACTTCATATTTTTTAACTTAGTCGTGGAGTTTTACTGTACTAGCTGGAATAGTTCTTCGTGTCCGGTAAGTAATAATGTATTTCATTGAATTATTGATTGTATTTGTGATCTAATATCTAATGTAATAACTTCAATAATTTCCTTCTTTGTTAATGTTCTGCTAGATGATAAACATTCATTATTTTCACATTTTCTTGAACCATATCTTGTTTTCGATGTTAATTGATGACAATTTGCACATAAATATTTTGCTGTTGATAAACATGCTTTTCCAAATGCACCTAATATTTTCTTTTGTGTTGTTGGTAACAATGACTTAACAATTTTCATTAATTTAATCATATTTGATTTGTCCATATTAACGTTCATGCAAAATTCTGTTATTAATCTAATAGTTGTCATTATACTTGTTGAACTGTCTTTGTATAGTGGTGGTGAACTATCACGATAAGGATCTTTAACGGTGTCTAATAGTGTATTATCATCGTCATCAGGTGCATAATTCGTAACATTTAATTCAGTTGTTTTAGCTGTTGGTTCATTAGCATCAATGTTATCATCAGAGCTACTACTTGAATCTTGTGGTAAAACTTTATTTTTTTCTGTACGTCTTCGTTGTTGTCGATAGACTTTTGGACTATAATACCTCAAATGTTTTTCTGCCATCTTCAGATCTAAATATTATATAAAACGAAACGTTAGTATTTTTCCAAGACACAACTTTATACGACAGTCTTGCAGAGCGAACTTTTCTTCCACTTTCCTAAACTTCGAAACATTTTTCTGTAATATGGTGCCAACCGTATCGGAAAAATTCAAAAATAATAAAATTATAGAAAATGCACAGAGACTTATAAAAAGATCAGCTGCTCCAGAATTTTCCTTTTATTAGTGTATTGTATTTTTATTTCTTTCATCCAACAGACGTTCTATCTTTTTGATTGACTATCAAATCAATTGTATCATTGACCAGAACACACTATTACACTGAAGAGAGAATGGTTTAGTGAAACTTTAGAACTATCATGTGGAAGACATCAAACCGACTGTCATTAAATTTGATCTGAATAGCGATCTGAGTAGCAATTCAAAGTCACTTTCCAAAATACGGCATACCGTTACTTACGGACCACGGTCTCAAAAAATACCGCCGGTAAACCGCGGTATATCGGCGGAACTTTTGCGGACCACAGTATACCCACGTTATAGCCATATTTCCTACGAAAAAGCAAAGTTAGGACCAAAAGCTTTAGTTTACGAAGCTTACCATAATAAAACTATGATAAACTGGGATCCTTCTGATAAACAAATATTCTTCGATGAAACTTTTCAGATTTTGGGAGGCTTTTATTCCATTTATTTTCAGACACAAAATATTCCATTTTAAATAAACTTTCAGCTTCAAGGATGGTTCTATCATCATTTACTTTTGGTATTTTCAACAGAGCCGTTTTAAGAAATTTGTGGCCCCTGTGCTGATCATTAACGTTTTCAACACATCAATTTGTATTTTTTTTAATAATAACAAAATGCAAGGCTTAAGCCGTTTGATTGGGCCCCTGAGTCAGCCGGGCCCCGGTACTGGTTACAGGATGGTTGGTTACTTCAGATTTTGTGAAGTACTTTCAAAAGTAGAAGAGAGCCATGTTACATTTTGGTAAAAAAAGTTTGTTCATCCGCTTGAATCAGAAGCTGTCAGCATTTTATATTTTTGTATCTCAAGAATGATCTAATCAAAAAGATTTAAATTTGTTTGAAGATCAACATTCTTTGACAGCTATAACCGCACGAAATTTAAAGTCACTAGCTATTATGGTTCATTATAGGAGCGCTCTTAAATTTTCGCAGATACCGTATTTTTGTGACTGAAACTTAGATGTTACTCTTTTGGTTTTGCTAGTTGCTAATTGAACAGTAACGAAATGAGTTACTCGTTACTAGTAACGAGTGACTAAGTTAGTTACTAGTTACAAGTAAATAAGTAAAGGTAAAGTGCCACCCCTACTTTAGACTACTGTGATGCATATTTCTCTACCGGGTTGAGAAAAAATATGCATCACAGTAGTCACAGCATCACAGAAAAAATATGCATCACAGTAGTATGCACCACGTTTAACTCTTCTAGACGATCAGACAGAAATATTGACTTCACGTTTACAAATTTTCCCGGAAGAAACGGGGAGACTCTCGTTTTTGGAACCAGTGACCACTGGCCAATTGTTTATAGGTCAGAATTTATTACCTTTACAACCGTAGATAGTTTTTCACATACGAAATGGAATTTCTTTGAGATTTTATTAGCGCTCCTTCAGGACGTCTGGGTAGATCTACAGAAGAAGGTATCCGCAGTAGACTGGTATAAATTGTATACCAATTTTTTATCAGCATTAAAAAACAGAGTGACTGTGTGGCTCGATAAAGATAAGTGGAAACCATCCCTCCCACAGGCTATTTTGAAAAAACTAAAAGTGGTGAGAATTGTTCGAAATAAATATTACCACAATAGATACGAGGAAGATAGAGTCAGACTACGAATAATGTCAAAAAAAATAAAAAAAGAGATATGGAAATATAAATCTGACAGATGGAATAAATTTCTATCAAACATCGAAGAATCTCATGGAAAATCAGACACCGCTTTCTGGTCAAACTTGTCTCGCATTTATCGACCGAAATCTCCCCCCTTTTCCAAACTACATGTAGGCGACACCACTATTTCTGATCAGCAAGAGATAACGGAAAATTTGTTTAAATATTATTCAGAACAATTCTCAGCACCTTTCTGTGATTCTAACAACCCAGATGATACACAGTGCAAAGTTGAGTACGAGGAAATTATGACAAAACTAGCTTCATGCTCAAATACTGTAGCTCTAACTTCAGCTTATGAGATTAATAACTTAATAAGAGCCTTGAAACCAAAAAAATCAGCAGGTTTTGACAATATATCAAATTTTATGATAAAAAAACTTACACCGGCGTTTATCGACTGTTTATGTTTTTGTTTCAACGAATGGCTGTCTAAAAGTATATTTCCTCACGAGTGGCAGCTTGCAAAAATTGTTACTTTGAATAAATTAAAATCAGATATTCCATCCTGCGAACACACTCGACCAATATCTCTATTACCCACACACTCAAAACTGTATGAAAAAATTATTCTTAAAAGAGTAAAAGGCTGGGCGAACTCAAATAGTATTGTGCCTCCGGAACAATCTGGATTTCGGGAAAATGGACTACTTCAAACACGTGTTCTGTCAATCTATCAGGAGGTAAAAAATAACCTTGCGGCAAATATCCCTGTTTTAGCTGTCTATGTAGATTATAAAAAAGCATACGACATGGTTTGGCACATGGGATTAATTGTTAAACTCTGTAGACTAGGGATGCCTCTTGAGCTTTTAAAATTGATTGTAAGTTGGTTAAGTGACCGGAAAGCCTTCGTTATATTCGGAAAGTTTAAATCGGGTATTTTCAAAGTACACATAGGACTCCCTCAAGGTAGCGCACTAAGCCCTTTTATTTTTATTATCTTCCATGCTGATTTAGTGAAATGCGTAGGAGCTTTTTCTGCTCATCTGTTCGCCGACGATCTAAGTACAATTATTGTCCCTCCAGTTTCAATTAGTTTGTCTAAAATGCTAAAATTTTTAAATGAGGAAGGTACGAAAGTGTGTAATAATCTCTTTAATTACTCAAAAAAGTGGAAGCAACCGATAAATATATCAAAAACAGTCGTACAACTTTTCCATTCTCAAGTAATTAAACCTGAGATCGAAATCTATATGAACAATGTTAAATTAGTAGTAGTATCTGTCTTTAAATACTTAGGTTTTACGTGGACGGACAAGCTTTCGCTAAAACCTACGGTCGATAGTTGTTTAGAAAACATTCAAACGTCTTACTCAAAATTAAAATGGCTGAAGCGAAATAAAAATATCTCAACCAAAGTTCTTCGACTTTGCTTCTTCGCCTACGCTTTTCTCTTCTTCACGTGGATCTTCTGCTTTTTTTCCTTGCTACCAAAATCACAACAGGAACTATTCTACCGCAAATTTCGAGTAGGGATTCGTATAGTCTATAGATGCCATTTCGTATCGGCGCACGATCTTTTCTCTTTTATTAATGAAAACGACCTGAATTTTTATGTTAAATCCTATTTAGGAAAAATGCTGGCGCGAAGCCACATATCCGACTTAGGCCAATCCTTTTTCCTTAATGATGTTTTTTAGTTAGTTTTTAGTTAGTTACTAGTTACAAGTAAATAAGTAAAGGTAAAGTGCCACCCCTACTTTAGACTACTGTGATGCATATTTCTCTACCGGGTTGAGAAAAAATATGCATCACAGTAGTCACAGCATCACAGAAAAAATATGCATCACAGTAGTCTAAAGTAGGGGTGGCACTTTACCTTTACTTATCCTCGTCCTCGACCATTTCCGGGTCCTCGTCAGCGGCCCTTGTGACCACCACTCCAGACACATCGCTGCTGTGACAAATGCTGCCGTCCATTTTTGTAAGCGGCACACTTTACCGTACGACGAGCTTTCTCACCTGACATACCAGTCGAAATACTGACAAACTGTAAACAAAATTAGTCCTAATCAAATAAGATGTGCAAATTGTCAGGGAGCACATATGGCGGGGGCTCCTGAATGTCAGTACAAAGAGTCTCATCGAAAACATTTCCTACAACAGTACATTTCCTACAACAGTAACAAAACCATTCAGTTATACCTAATTCTAATCCGTGGTTTCCATCAACAGCTAAAATGTGTTCAACAACAATCGAGGCCACAACATCAGTTCAAAATAACACAGTCCTGATGAAGAAATCACCAATAACAAGCTCAGCACGACAGTTCAATGAACAGCAGACAGACCCAACAGCATCGTTAGCTGATATTATTCAAAAAGCAATAAAAGATTCTCAAGCAATAATTTTGAATAAAATGAATGAATTAAAGCTCAAATGTGTGATCGGTAGCAATGAACAGCTTAATATGAAAAAACAGCTTGAACAAAACATTGTTCCGCAGATGAATGGGCTGACTGGTCGAATCTCTTCTCTCTGCAGTAAACTGGGACAAACTGGCATCATTAAAGTGGATGAGGAACAAAAATCATTATCTCAGGTGGCACAACTTGAACATCTTTATCAAATTCAACAAAAACGAGTTCACTCGCAACCAAATGAGGAAGATAGAAACATGCACACGATTTCAAACTATGCATTATAGTGCACATCCGATGCGTATAAAAAGGAATATTCCATATGCGGCATACATCCGTGCTATCCGCATCTGTTCTGATGCAACAGATTGCGTTACCGAATTCGTAGAAATAATATATCGATTACTCCTCAATAAGTATCCACCGGATTTTATTGGTGGGCAATTTAAGAGGCTATTGGAGACATTCATATCGTCGATACTGTACATATGATTCAAGATTACGACACATTCAGGATCAAGCTGTGACAGATAAATTGGAGAGACAAAGATCCAAGTCTAAAACAGAAAAAAGGATTGACTGGCGTGATGACATCCTTTTTCATTTTTCATACACACCAACACATCACCGATTAGCATCGGAAATACATAAAAAATGGATCGAAATGTTTGACAACACTCCATTGAGTCACTGTAAACCAATAGGGTTTCGACTAACCCCAAATTTAACAAAAATACTGATTCGCAAGAAACCACGTCCCTTAGCATTCTCGGTGCCTTTACAGCTGTAGAAAGTTCCCTGTAAAGGGATGTTCATTAGACAACAAACATCAACGCAATCGATCTCTACTGCATAAAAAGAAACTCGTTCGACACCAATTCCGATAGTACACATTTTGATATTGAAGAGATATTGAGACCGAAGTCCTTTTCCGTACAATTTGTTCGCATTTTTACAGATAAAAAATGGTTTTATGGGGAGGAAATAAAGATTCTCATGCAAATGCACAAAATCACGTTGACGATAGACATCGCTAGAATCTTCATGTCTTAATTAATAATCAGCCCGAAGAGCATAGTAAAAAAGTTCAACCTACGTGGCGAGATGTCGCATTAATTTTATGTATAGGGATAGTCAGCCTATTACTGAGTTTTTTCATACTTCGTTTTGTTTTGGCAAGCAAAATCAAAAAAACTATGGGCGATGCGAAAAAACTGACGATGACTCATCACCAACAGCAACAGTCGGTATATACGATACCGATAGAATATTTGCAAGACCCAATTAGACAATTGTTGATAAATGAACAAATGAGACCAAAACAAATGGCCACCCAGTCGATTCGGATGCAGTTCCCAAAGCAGGAAATGCGATATATGGGCACTGGCAACACAAGAATTGATGATTAACCAAAAGCACGAAGCAGATGCATGATAATATAAATAATTCTTCTGACAAAGAATCGAACCATATATGCACATTCCATCACGTCGGATACACACTCGTCATCAAATAGTTCATTTTTTTTTTTCTTCTTTTTTTTTTCTTCTTTTCTTTTTTGCTTTTGTTATCTATGACACAGCATAACTTCCATATTTGCTTTTTTCATAGTACACAAAACCCGATCTTTTTTACTATTGTATTGTTAATGTACTGACGAAGAATACGAAACCAGTCTACATTAATAAATCATATACTATTTTCATTTCGTATTGGTTGACACTGCACATTTGATCTTTGATTGATAAGATACACTAGCTGTATAAAACATATATCTTCCACCATATAGGTTAAGTACTGATCAGTTGCAAATTCTCTGTATTTGCTGCCTTTATGACACTGTGAAGTTTTACCAATAGACAGCTTGTGCAGATGTGTTGTGGGAGAGTCGCCGGGCAATATAACTTACATGTTATCTGAACTAATGAGGAAAAGATAAACATTCCAAATCTATAGTCAGTAAGTTGCATAACGAAAAAGTAAAAAGTAATTCAGTTCGCCGCGAATGCGAGTTTTTCATAATCTCGAGCTAGTACTGTATGAAGAATTGAGGTGTTTTTTCATTGATATATCAAGGTAGTATAATCTAATTGAACTATAGTTCATCTAGTTTATTCTTTTGAAATAAATTATCTGCTGAAAATGATAACGGTGACGTAAGATCATGCAAAGGTTTATAGATAAAAGAAAATGACAAAAAATGTGGTATAATAATAGTAGATTAATAGTAGATATTAATGTTTGTACAGTGGATCGCAAAATTAGCCCTCCTCCCTATAACTCAAGAACCATAATAGCTAGGGATTTCTAATTTTGCATGATCATTATTCTCACCGAATTCTGATAACTCATCGAGTTTAGGCCTCTTTTCCTGAATGGCTCGTGAGATATAGGCATTTCATTTCTTTTCGTAAAATACTAACAACGCCTGATCTATTTTTTATAAAGTTTCACCCACTGTTTTTTTCCCATAGATTTCAGTGATTATATTTTTACATAATTCTGATGCATACTAATCACAGAAGCTGTGGTAGAATGGGCGACTGTTATTTCCTCAAGTTCCTCCCTTGTGTATGCTACATTAGCGTCTGTTCATTCGAAACGGATTTCCGGAACCATACAATAGTTAACCTTCATACTTTGACTGTAGAGTCTATAGCGACTGCGCAGTATTTGGCGCAATTTTGAAGCCAAAGTGATGTTCCTGGAATGAGTTATGAAGGGAAAGGACTTCATATCTCAGGACCTCATTTTCAGGCATCTCGATCGTAAAATAACTGTCTTCCGGTAACCATCAACAATTACCTCTTCAAATTGATATTGTAGATAAAGGAGAATCAGGACTACATTTAGATAAAAAGAAAAAGTTTTTACCCTATGTTGATCAGGCGTTATTAGCATTTTACGGAATGAAATACTAATATCTCACGAATCATTAGGAAAAGCGGGCCTAAACTTGCTGGGTGATCAGCATTCGATGAGAACAACGATCAGCAAAGTTAGAAGTCCCTAGCTATTCTTGAGTTACATGAGGTGATGTGACTATTTTTGCGATCCACTGTAACACACATGATTTCTTAATGTTACAAAAGAAGGGATCCGTGGCAGATGCTCACGAGGATTGTTACTCACGGGCATTTGCTCGCTACAGAGATTCTGATATAATTTTTTTCTGAAAAGGTGAGTGATTGACATAATTGTTTTTGTGATCGATTGTACTAGAAATGACATGGCTTTTATAGGGATATAGTATATACAACCAATATAATTTATCATACTATAATAAAATAACTTATCATTTTATAAGCATCATCAGTTTAGTTCGTCATTTTATGCTAGTCATTAATCTGGGATACTATAGCTAGTATTCCAGATTAACTGACTAACAGTTGTCCGCGTTATAATCATCATTTTGGGATGAATTTTTTACTACAAATTTATGTTGAAATCTCTTTAAGGAGTAAGTGTCCGTTTCCCCAATGCAAGAGGGTAAAATACTAATAACTCAAAAAATATACGTTTAGTACATTTTCAATAAGAACAAAGGTAAAGATTGTCATCATTTGATTGAAGCTTAGCTACTAGCTAAGTTAAGCAATCACATAGAAAAGAGAAGAACAAATGGAAAGAAAATACAGATCACATTTATACAAATGATAGAGTAGAACCCACAAACTTATACCTTTAAGACAAACGTATTTCCTTCTGGACTAAATTATCATTAAAACGCCCTTGAAAATAATTAATTTCGTTTAAATTGGTTCAGACCCTTTTGCGTACGTTTTACGAAATCATTTTCCATCCATTTCTTTTAGTGTCGACTGACAGGAATATTTTTGATGTTGTTTTATTTTTCTCACTATCATTACTTTTACCTTGTGTACCTGAGTTATGTTTGCAGATGTGTGACTAACGAAAAATAAGAATGATTATTTTTTGCCTAATGAATAGCTTAAATAAATGAATGACTGGATAACGTGTGCAGAGATAGAACAAATATGCATTTGTCTAGGCATTTTATTTATTAAGCATCCAAGTCATTAAGAACACCTTTTTATTGGGAAAACAAAATCGATGGCTAAATTTCGAAAAAAAGGACTGATAAAATCAAAAGTAGAGAGACATACAATGTAGGTATGAGAAAGAGACAGTGTACTACAGTCAGCGATGCTAGTTCCGGATTGACGGAGTACCCATCAAAGGAAAATAGCTGTTACAAAGTCCTTTGGACACTGTATTTCTTTCGTAGCCAATATTTATCGCTGAATCTCGAAGACTTACACCTAAAACATCGTAAGAGTCAATACATATTATACATTCCACACAGATCTTTCTTATTATTCAAAACTTTGATGCACGATAGTCTTACATACCTTCGCAACATACGTATAAAGAAGAAATTCCTTGGCCTGCAAGATCATGGTATTTTTAAAAAATTCTCAAAATCTCTCTGAAACTAAAGTCAATTTTTGCTTAGAAAGGTATACTAAGTATAATCAGCTGAAAGGAAAAATGAACGTGGTTGGCTAACGTAAGTTATATCCTTTTCTGAATAGTATAACGAATATATAAATGTGAGAGTAACAGCAGCTGTTTTGAAATTCGTGTTTGAAAATGAGTTTCCAAACCCTGTGCTGTTACTCTCACGTTTATAATAAAGTTATAACCCTCAATAAGTTAAACATAACGAACATAGTATATGTAGCACTTACTTTTTATTCTTGAAATTCAATCTTTATATATACTTCACCAAATATATTAAGTATTTTTTGTGACCTGTTAACAATGTCAATACAGAGACAGAGAAAGTACATGAAAAAGTGGTTGAATCTTTCTCTCTGTATGGATACGATTCATCTCTTTTTCTCGATTCTATAAAGATTTAATGATAAGAAGTGATTAATTTGATCAGTACTATGGAAACTTACATTCAGCAATTGAAATATATGTGTGACTGTCGTGTAGTTAGTCTCATTTCTCTTACCTTTGTTCGTTTTCAATTTTAGTAACAATGATGAAACTAATGATGCGTACAAAATATTCAGTATCCTGTATGGTTTAGGTGATTAGAACGTCCCACAGCATTACGCTTAGAGAAATTAGTCTATTACTCTTTTTTTTCCATTTAGTCATTTTTCTTGTTGGTGTTGCTTTTTCCATCTCCCATGCAATTATTCCAGAAGAAGAACAACAAGGATTTAAGCATTTTGCAGAGGTAATGAATATATCTTTTCTTCCATTCAGTCGAAATAAAAAAACATAAAAAGGGTGGATGAAGCCATATTTT